AAATTTGGTTGAAATGCGATCATTCCTTCTGTAAGCAGAATTTTTTTATTATCGATTTTTTTTTTTTTTTTTTTTTTTGATTATCGATTTTTTCGAACCTGATTCCGAACTCAAAAATCAAGCTCCGTCATGTCCTTACGGCAGCCATTTGCAAACTTGTGTTGAAAACTGCATCGAAATCGGGTGAGAAATGCGGCCTGGGCGAGGCAACAACGCCCACGACAGACACACAGACAGACAACATGAGAAATATAGATAGTAGATAACAAAAACCATGTCACTTGAGGACTACCAACAGCAGCAATACCTAAAATGGATATCACATGTAACTCTAAGAGAAAATAATGACATAATTAAGATGTTAACATTCTGCATCACTTCAGATAGAAGGTTACTAAGGAAACGCCTATTAATACTGGAAAGAGTGATAACAGCTACTGGACTTGAGAAATCTGTTTTCCTGACAAGTTTACTTAAAAGAAAAATTTTATGAATTTCAACCAAAAGCAGTACTTGCTGATTGATCAATGAATGTTTCTGTGTAGGGAAATGGTTAATAATTACTATTATTATTCAGTCGGTTAAGTGTCATATGTGATACATGCTTGGATGATTATGTCTCTTTCAATTCATGACTGACTAGGCAGAAGATTTACCTACGGTAGGTTGCCGTTTCTCTCTGTGATAGACTGGTTGTCAACCAGATTGTTTTGCTATTCAACTCTTGGCAGGAGAAGAGATGGCTTCATATCTTTCACAAAAGTATTTGCGCATATGGGAGTATAATGAACCCAACTAGAATTCAAATTCGCCTCTCTGATTTCTCATTCTGAACTGTTATCAATTATACCATGATGCACATACTTTCAAAAATTTCAATTTTACCATTTCAAAATTGTTGATTTTTTTTTCTCTATCTATAACAAGGGAGATTATTCATGATGCAATTGAATTCAAGGAAGATAACTTATTAACCTTTGCTATTTTAACATTTGCTTTTTTTCTATCTATAAACTTAACTGATGAAAAAGTTTTGCAGATTTTGATATAATATTTTTTTCTTTTGTCAAAATCTCTGAATTTGCTTCACTTCTGCTACGTCTTGAAAAAAATACTATAAAATTCACTATTTTTTTTATCCATAATCTTTAAGGTGTTAAACTTATTCAACTTTTTAACAAGAAAAATTTCAAGTTAATGCTAAAAATTGCTTCAAAACATTGTTGATTTATTTAAGATAGAATGTCTTATTATGACCTGTCTCTAATTTGTATTTAGATACAATGTATTTATTTTTAATTTTTCTAATTGTTCACGTATATTGGATATGATCCATTATTGTACAAAATTAAGCTATAATGAAATTTGTATTTTATATGAATACTACCTTATGAAAATTAAGATGTAATAGAGTGGGTAGGGGACCTCCGTATTATAGATTTGATGGGGGCCCACGAGACCTGAGTACCATCCCTGCTCTTCAAATACCCTATTTATCATGAAGTGAAATGCTTATTAAGTTTGATTTGAAATAGTTATTTTTCCCTTTAGTTACGCTACATTGCATTTCAGGTTTGAGTCCTCTGCTGTAACACCTTGTCCACAAATGCAACTTCATATCAGTTTGAATAGATAACAAAAAATCAATTAATGCACTAAAATTATGCCATGCGAAGGGAGTGCTGAAAAGTTCCAGGCACACCCACTTCTCAACATCAGCATTTCAGTGACGAAACAAGAATTTGTTGTCAAAGAATTAAAAATAATTGATAAAAAACACTGTGCTATATGTGTTTAACTGTAGGGTGAATATCTTGAATAGGTTTTATCTTGAATATCTTGAATAGGCTGTACTTTTCATGGTTTTAAGTCATTCCTCTTAATCAAGCTGATAACTTTTCAGCCCACCTTCTTAAAATTCCAGTCAGTTGTGCACTTATTCACTTAACACATATCCTTCTGGCATCAGTTTAAACTGACATCTTCTTTATTTTTATTTTTTAGCTATATATAAAACTATTGGTTTCATTGATTTTGTTTAGTGGCACATCAACACCTCCATGGGTTATTTAATGCTAAAAATCTAAATATTTTTTATGCAATTTTATGACTTCAATTACATATATTTTGTACATAGTCTTATACTTTCAGAGTAAACATATGCTTTATAGATACATAGTTTGTAAATTATCTACTGTTATATATTTTGGTACAAACCTATTTCTTTGGTTGTTTTTGTTTAGTGGCATATCAATAAGTTTGGGTTATTTAATGTTGAAATCTAACTATGAAAATTCAAACATTATAATTAATTCATGAAGACATTTCATGCTTAAATTATTTAAAGAACTTAGCTTAATTTTTGTTATACCAAATAATTTTACAAAATCAAATGAGTTTAAATTGGTTTCTCCTTGCAAGAAATAAGAATAATCAAAACATTTTTTTTTTTTTTTTTTTTTTTTTTTTTTTACAATGTATGCCATATTTTCTATTTCACTATAAAAATGTATCGGTAATTTTTTTTAATAAAAATGTATTGCTTGTATTTTTACTATAAAAATGTATTTTTATACTTTTCTAGTGTTTTGATTATTTTTATTTGGAGGGGGATTGCATTTTTTGCCCATAAGTGGAACCCTAATAGGTGCTACCACCCCGGGTCAGGGTGAACTGGGAACAACAGCAATTAGGAGGTGGTTTCATGATCCTCAAAACCTCCAATCTCTCGATCAGAGACCTTGCTGCCAGATGTAGTTTATCGTCATACCCAGGACTAATTTAAAACTAGAATTTTAAAAAGTGAAAATTTCACTGAAATATTCAGAAAAATTTCCAAGTCTTCATCTGAAATGAAGAAAATACAGACTTCAGACAAAATATTCGCACTAGATGGAAAAAAAAGGTCAAATGTTAAGCAACTTTTAATAATTTGATATGCATTTCAAAGGGATTTAGTAAAAGAAATAATGTGACCATGTCAATATGATAAAGTACATTCATTCGTAACATGATGCATATGTATGTTTTAATTCTAGTGGCAATAATTTGACATCGCTATCCCTTCATGAGTAAATACAGGGTGCAATGGGTAAATTGTGGCCATTTTATATTTTTAATTTTGTGCATCCACATTGTTTGTTTTTCATTTTGTCAACTGCACAGTATAGTAGGGGCAATTGAGCACCATTTGTGAAAAAAGAGCACCATGACACAATTCACTCTGCCAGAAATTTGGAAATGGCATGCTCTAATGTTTGGCATTTGCACCAGAAGCTCCAATATGAACATTTCGGAGTGTTTGGGTTTCAATCTGAAAACAGTGCAGAGGATCCGGAAAGAGTTGGAGAAGTCTAATAGTGATTATGAAGGTGTTTGGAGTGATCACTAGTAATGGCAACTTTATACCTACATTCATCTTCCCATTTTGTCTCAGACACAACATGAAGGCCTACATCAAGTGCCTTGAGGAGGTAGTGCTGCCCTGGTTCAAGATGGTGGCTACTGGAAGAGTCTCTGCCTGGCAACAGAACTCTGCACCATAACACACTAGCAGGAGAACCCAGTCATGGCCGTCAGACAATTTCTGTGACCACATCACCCCATAGATTTGGCTACCTAACTCCCCAGATTGCAACCCCCTTGATTATTATGTTTAGGGCGCAGTTGAATGAGAGACCAACAGAACTCTTTGTAAGATCAAAGATGAACTGAAGGAAGGATTATGGCAGCATTCACCAACTTAAACAAGACCGTCTAGTTGCTTCCCTGATAACTATAATCTTCAAAAATTTAAATGTAATGTCAATCAGCATTTTCTGATGCCTTGATCAGCATTCTCCATTTTATCCTTTCTTCAATACCCCTGTACCCAGTCTTTTCTCTTACTTTCACTCTCTATAAACCCTTGCATACTAGTGGCACTCCTGCCTTGCTTATGTTGAAATGCTTAAAAAAGAAAAAGGAGTTGCAAGCGATTCTGAAGTTGTCTGAAGGCCACGGTTGAAGCCTATGGCAATTTTATTGAATAAATTTACTCTTTAGTATTTCAAGATATTTTTGTTTAATTTTGGTAAATATATCTGTTAAAATGAGATGTCAGTGTTATTTTCATTTTTGTGTAATTTTGACTATCCATTGTATCCTGTACGACATTTTTTTATATTATGTAGGATTCAATTTTTAATCTTACTGTTGAGCTGTCCAAAAAGGATTGCTGAAAAGAATTTTTGGCCTGACACACTTCTTAATCTTAACTATACAGTCTGACGTCTGTGATCGTGCACCCTTGGGATCAGGTCACTGCCAGACCACGGAAAGTGCTACATGACAAATTATCCCTAAAAAAAACCCTATGTAAGCAGTCTTGTCAGCTCATTCCATATGTATATTGCTGCATTATTAAAGGTAGGTAGTCCTGGGTATGACAATAAACTATATCTGGCAACAAGACCTCCAATCGGGAGATTGGAGGTTTTCAAGAGCATGGAACCGTCTCTTAATTGCTGTTGATTCCATGTCCACTCTGACCCAGTGTGATAGCACCTGTTAGGGGTTTCCAGTTATGGTCAAATAAAAAAAACCCGAAGCAAAAATCAGCGTTATATTTTTATGATAAGATGACCAACAATACATTTTTATTGCAAAATGACAATGAAACACTAAAAAAATATATATAAAAAGATATTTTTCTATTAAAATTAAGAACAATACATTTTATCATTTACAAATAGTGACCCCCCACAAAGTCTATGAAAGCAAAAAAAAAAGTTTTTTAAAGTAAAAATACCAGCAATACATATTTATAATAGAATTACCATTTTAAAGCAGAATTACTAACAATAAATTTTATAGCAAAATGACTAACAATACATGTTATCTGTAGTCTAACCCATAAAACTATGTTCAAAATACTTAGATTTGGGCATTAAGTAACCCATAGACGAGTTGATATGTCACTAAACAAGATCAGTCAATCAATCAAAGGTAGAACAAGGGCTTACAGCCACATCATGTTGAAACACTGGTTCTCATACAATTACTGAAGTTCAGCATCATCAAGCCTGGTCAGTACATAGATGGGTGACCACTTGGGAATACCAGGTGCTGTAAATTTGGATGTGCATGTGATGTAATAGATAATGGCTCGGAAATGGAAATCAGAAAACTGAATTCAAATTCCAGTTGGGTTCATTATAATTACTTACATGCACATATCATTGGGAAAGGTAGGAATCCACCTCTTCCCCCCTTAGCTATGGGTTAAATAGTAGAACGTGTATCTTTAAACCATTATTACCCCGCTTAAATAATCTGGAAAGGGTTGATAAGCCATAGAAAATGAATGAATCATCAATCTTTTAATGTCAACAAATTTCAGTGACTTTTTCTTTGAGTGGTTTCCTGTTAAAGGCACATAAGAATAGCAAATAAAAAAAGTGAGACAAAAAAAGAAAGTAGAACAAAGCTTAAAACAGGAAATAAAACAATCATTAATGCTTCCAATCAAGGTTTATATTGTTTTATGCAATACAGAGGCTAAAAAATGCGTAAAACCAACAAATAATATGCTTATTATCCTGAATGGTTACATATGCAGGTATATATAAGAAATGAACAAGTCTGTATCACCAAAACACTCTGCTGCTGTTGGCTGCTGTGGAAAGTTGTAAAAAACATGTAGCACTGCCCTCATAGCCGCTTAGTGACTTAATGGCTGCTGATTGAAAAAAAAAAAAAAAAATTGAGGGTTGCTGAACCATGATACACCTGATATTAAAGAGATTGAACTGTATAAGCAAAACTCAGAATTTTTATTTTGAAAAGTTTTCTTGGTCAGGCCAAGAACCTTTCTGCACCTCCTTGTCAAAGTCTAAATGAAAATACTGTATCTACTCATGCATCATGTAACCTTTGAAGACCTAATTTTGAAGCTAATTTGATATAAGTAAGTGGATATAGGAGACAGGTAGAGTAATGGAAAGCAGCTTGGATTGAGGAATTGGAGAGACAAGTTGAAATTCCAGTCGAATCCATTACATTTACTTACATGCTAAAACCCTTGGGCAAGGTTATGAATCCTCTTCTCCCCCCCCCCCCGGCTATGGGTAAATAACAGGACAGACTGGGTACATGATCACCTAAGTATGTATCATGCATGGCACATAACTGACTGACTGAAGTGGATATATAGTTTGAGACAGGTAGAGTAATGGAAAGCAGCTTGGATTGAGGAATTGGAGAGACAAGTTGAAATTCCAGTCGAATCCGTTATATTTACTTACATGCTAATACCCTTGGGCAAGGTTATGAATCCTCTTCTTCTCCCCCCGGCTATGGGTAAATAACAGGACAGACTGGGTTCTATATCCTTGGATGGCAACTGGTCTACTGCAGAAAGAAATGGCAACCTATTGTGGGAAAAAAATCTGCCTCGTCAGTCATGTATTGAAAGATACATGATCACCTAAGTATGTATCATGCATGGCACATAACTGACTGACTGAAGTGGATATATAGTTTGGTCAATGGTGTAACCAGAGACAGTAGTATATACTTCTTTCTTTTTATGTGCCATGTCTTTTCAGGACGTAGGTAATCATGGCTCTCCACTTCCCTCTATTCCTTGCAGCTCTCAACAAATTCCTTCCCTCTGCTTCCTCCCCTAGACCATATTCTGCCATCCACCTGCTCAAGCTCATCAGGTATGTTGCGCGCTACTTTTCCTTGTTTCTTTTTCCCTCTATTTGACTTGTAAGTATCAGATTTTCCAGGCCCTCCTTTCTCATTATTTCCCAGAAACTTTAGCTGCCTCTTCCTGATATTAAGACCTCATTGTTGCTCACATGCTTGGTCCATGATATCCTTAGCATCCTTCAGTAAAACCACATCTCTGTTGCCTCGAGTCTCTTCTTCATCTTTGAGGAAATCATCCAACATTCGCTGTCATAAAGAAGAACAGATGTCACGTAACAGCTCAGTATTCTTTTCTTTGTTACCAAAGAAATTCTGTCTCGCAATACTCTGCCCAGCTTTTAGAATGTGTCCTCGGCCATCTCAATACATCTACAGATGTCAGTGTCACACTTATTGTCCTCTGTCAAGGCATTTCCCAGATATTTAAAACTTCCGTGTCTGCTTGATTCTAGTGTTCCTGACCTGCAAATCGCATTTTGGTCTCTTCCTCTTACTGATGACCATACACTCTGTCTTGTAGTTTATGCTTAGTCCTTTCTTCTCACTCTCCATCACTACCTTCTGTAGGAGATTTTGTAATTTCTTTTCCATGTCTGCTATCATTACTGTGTCATCTGCGTATCTTATGTTGTTAAGGGTGTGGCCGCCAATGCTAAATCCCAGTAGGGTTTTCCAATTCTCTCAGAATTGCCTCATTGTATAGTTTGAACAGGTTGGATGAGAAGACGCTTCCTTGCCTTACACCCCTTTCTATTTTTGTATATTCACTGAACTTGTTCCATATTCGTATGCATGCTGTTTGCTGCCAGTATAGATTCTTGATTATTCTGATATCATTCCCGAATATATCAAGGTTGCTGAGCAGTTCCATCAGATTTTGTAGTGTACTTTATCAAAGGCCTTTGCGTAGTGTATGAAACATAGGTACACGTCTTTCTGCCTTTGTAATGTTCTTTCTGATAACATTCTGAGCATGAATATCATGTCCCTTGTTCCGGTGTCTTTAACAAACCCACACTGTTCTTGTCCTATCTCTGGCCTTATTCTGTTGTGCATTATATTCAACAGAGAAAAAAAAAAAATGTCACAAACATATATAGGATATGTAAATGAAGCTGAATATATTTTGTTTTTCATTTTTTCCCTTTCTCTGTCTTATTTTATTGAAATGCAAAGTCGCCATTCTCAACTGTTGGGGAGGGGATGATGATTGAATGCCTGATTTGACCCCAGTACATACACTAATTTTATATCTTGTGTATGATGCGACCCCCTTAAAATTAGCTTCAAAATTAGGTCCCCTCAAAAGTTGCATGATCCTCAAGTATACACGGTAATAACAACAAAAAAAAACACTACCTCTATCCCATAATAGCTGTTACATTTAGTGTATGATGTATATATGCAAACATATTAACTATTATCGGACAGAGGTAATCATTTTTTAAGAAAATATCTCCTTGAGTTAACTGTTAAAATTTCATAATACAGCTTTTGAGCTTATCATTATATAAGTATGAACTGATCAAATATGTCTATTTATTGGTCTCTTGTTATATTCGTAAAGAGTGCATTTTGCATGTAACCTCTTGTGTCTTGATTTCAGGCTGGTTTGAAGTGGAGGATAAACACAACCTTAATGTGTACGTGTCCAATCTTCCACTTGACATTACAGATGAAGAATTTAGTGAATTAATGAAAAAATGTGGACTTGTTATGTTTGACCCCAAGAAAAGGACTCCTAAACTGAAGTTGTACAAAGATGAAAATGGACAACCAAAGGGAGATGGCTTGTGTTGTTACATCAAGGTAAAAGAAATAAATTTTGGACACTTTCTAAAATTATCCTAAATTTTTTGTTGACTATAATTTGGATAGTCAAAATACGAGTCTTGTAGAAAAAAATAACATATATATATACATTTTTATATATATATATATAAAACAATATAAAAATAAATGGTGTTTTTAAAAGTTCTTGGTTTGACCAACATTGGTTACACTAACATCAGTAATTATTATTGTAATTATCATTTATCTTTTTTATTTTTTATTTTATTTTTTTGAGAGCCTTTTCTTGGTTTAGTTTTTTTCTGTACCATCTCACATATATATATATATATATATATATATATATATATGTGTGTGTGTGTATTTGGGCCTCAATCGCTTTTTTATGCAAGTTCTGTTTGAAGTGACTGATGATGGTACTGTGGTTATTTTTTTTTTTTTTTTTTTTTTTTTTATGTGTTCTTATAATTTTTTCTTACATATAAAATTTATATATGGATATATGAAACATTTGGACAATTTTTATATAAATTATGCCCGGAAATTATATAAAAAAAAAAAAAAAATCAACCAAAACACCTTGTCAGTCATTTTTAAAGAAACTTGCATATATATATATATATATATATATATATTCAATAATATAGACAAGTTTTTGCTATTTATTTTAAGCAAATTCCTTTCATATCATCTGATAATCTTAATAACATTATCATTGAAAGACGAAAGAAAATCACAATATTGGTACATGTTTTTTAATCCTGTCTAAGCTTTTGGCTTACACAAGCCATCATCAGAGATGACAAGTACATTACAATAAATTAAACAATACACGGACATAGCAACAATGATTGTCTGTTTTGTTTGGATGGAAGATTTCAAAGCAACAACAGACTTGTGCGTATGAGCCGTTGTAAGCGAAAATTGCTGCGGGGCCAAGACATCACACATGACCATGCGAGAGTGAAAACAAGAAGTGTTATAAACCAGTGGCTTCTGTTATCAATTATAGGCATTTAAGTATATTTGTGGAGTGGAGTTTTCATAGTTTATTTTTTTTTTTATGTTTACATATAGTTGCGCCTAAAAATATATATATATATATATATATATATATATATATATATATATATATATATTAAAGTATATAATTGGTATATACGGAATGAATTCCAATAACCAACAATTACTATTCTTAAAAGAGTGCTCAATACAAAGTAGAGCAGATATAATTATTTTTTATAAAAAATTATAACATAAGTATGTTATAAAATCACTACAAAAATAGCCATTTTGTTTCAACACACTCTGTGTCTTATCAAGTGATGATGTTGAAAATAAAATAAATGGTTTTAAAAGTTTCAGATTAATTAACGATCCTACACTAGGGGGAAACATTGTTACAAAAGGTAGAATAACCAATCAAAACGAAGTATGGAAAGATTCAAAAGCTTGACAACGAAATCCTGCTATAATAGCTATTCAGATCTTTAAATACGTGTAATATTAAAAATAATTTATACTAACTAATAATTATAAAATTATATGATAAAATTTAATATTAAAATTAAAAACTGGCAATTTTTAAAATCCAAATTTAATCACTATTAAGTTTAAAAACTACAAAATTATTGAGAAAAGAAAAAATATATATGTTTATTCAATTCATTTCTTCATTGAAATTACGTTCGACAAGACAAGACGCTACAATACATCCGGTCATTTGACAATACATATATATATATATATATTTTTTTTCCCCTTTCTTTTCCGTTTTTATTTTAAAGTTTGTGAATGTGGTCTTAAACTCACACGTAAAAACAACAAAAACACAATCAGATTATAATACATAAGCACCCAGACATAATTAGATACACACACACGCACACACACACACACACAAAAAAAAAAATAAATAAATAAAAAATAAATAAATAAAAGGAGGTGGGGGGATACATGAACATCTCTACAGCCCTATATGAAAAAAGGAGACGTGGAAACTAACACTTATACACACACACAGTTAAATGTGAATACACTCTACATACACATAGTGTATAGTGTTGGTGTAACTGTGTATATATTTATTTGTGTGTTGGTTAGAGTATTTGCACTGAGGAATGTGTAGGTTGGTGGATAAGTGTATTTATGGTTTTTTTTGTTTTTTTTTTATTATATATGTGTGGGTGTATGTGTGGGGTGTGTGTGTATGTATATATATTTGAGTGTGTGTGTGTATATATATATATATATATATATATATTTATTATGTGGTAAGGTAGATTATAAGAGTAAAGGTTAATAATTGTTGCTGTATATGTGTATGTGTGTGCCTATATATGTATGTGTGTATGGGTGTGTGTATATGTATGTATTTGTGTATTCCCTTTTTGTGTTAACACCATTCTTGTTTGTGAATTTTTGCCTTATTGCTCTTGCTTTGCCTTGCATATATTGTTTTCTCAATATTATTTTTCTCTGTCCTCCTATTTTCATTCTCTTGTTATTGTTTATTTCAAAATTTTCAGTTCTGTTTGTTGGCCATTTCTGAGGACTGATATTGCACAAGTACATATAGCCATGGCTAATTACTCTGCGGGATAGGGTACTACTTATTCCATATTCATTCTTGAATTCTAAAGTTATTCTCATAAATTAATTTTTGGCTGGCCATAATATTTATACAAGCAGACAATTGTTGATAAACCAGTTTTATAAGTTTTTTTTTTTTTTTTATTAATATATATGAATGTCGTTATTTCTAAGCTGCAAATATGTATTACTGAATTTCTTTGGTTTGAAAATCCAAGAAGGTTACCAAGACATCTGGAGATGTCTGGAGGGCACAAGTGAAACATGTGTATAACAACCAAGATGAATATGTTGGCCTGAATAGCAAAAGATAGTACACCTGAAGTAGACCAGATAATACAACAATTAAAACATTGTGAATATAACACTCAAGATGAGGATGCTGGGCTGAATAGCAAAGCCTATAATTATACTAACACAGATCATCACTTTGATATTTGAATCATTTTATTTGAAGTTTGAAAAAATATTTTAATCTTTTCCTTTATCATTTCAGTCAGAATCTGTGAGTTTAGCCTTACAGATCCTGGACGGCTACGATGTACGGGGCAAGAAAATCAAAGTTGAATTGGCAAAGTTTGAAATGAAAGGAGAATTTGATCCTTCCAAAAAAAAGAGAAAATTAAGCAACAAAGAAAAGAAGAAAATCAAAGAAAAACAAGAAAAGTAAGGATTTTATTTTTTTCCATGTTTTTTTTTCTTCATATTTTCAATATTTCACATCTTTAACATTTAACACACTGCATCATTTATAAATATTACTTTCTGTATATGGAATCCCATCAAAATATAGTGTTTTATATATTAGTTCTATATATTTAAAATTGCAGTAGCCTGGCTCTCAATTTCAGTCAAGATTGTTTTAGGTGTTGCCATAGAAGGATATGACTACACAACCAAGAAATTCAATTTCATTGGCAGAATACTAACATTTTGCCTTGCAAAAATAGTCACCTACAAAGTGGTAAAGGTTTATTATAAGCTTCCTTGTCTCTCTTTTTTTTCCTTAAAACTTCCTGTCAATGCTCACATGTTCTATCTATGGTATTCTTAGAATTTGTCAGTAGAACCACATCATACTTTTTCTTCATCTGTGAGGAAATTGTCCAGCATTCACTGCTATACAAGAGGACTGATATTGCACACCATTTTAACACTTAATAGTTTTAATAGTCTGTTTGTTTCTGGAAGAAATCATTCATGATACCTAAGCGCCTTCAGATTTCTGTGTCACGACTTTCATCATCTGTTACTACACTACCCAGATGAAAATAGTCACCTACAGAGTACTAAAGGTTAATATGTCATTTTGTTCATCATAAAACACTCATTTTGGTAAGTGATTTGTTTTTTTTTAAGACTTTGTGTGTTATTTAAAACTGAAATATATTTTGGACTGTAAGAATGATACTTTTTTGTAATGAGTGAATACTACATCAACAAGTTTTAGAGATAATGATTTTCCTTGATACAAGATATAGGACTTGTATCAAGAAAAGACATTGTTATTCTTAAAAAAAAAAAAAAATTGTTAATTTAACCCACAGCTGGAGGAAAAAGAGAGAGTATTTTTGCATCTAAAGGGAATGTAATGAAACCAAATGGAATTTGAACGTAGCTGTCCAGATTCTCATTTCAAGCCACTATCCTTAAATCATCCACACATCCTAGTCAGATTTTTATCAAGATGGTTGCATAATATTGTAAGTTATTTTCCCTCATGGAAACCATGAAAATTTCATGGTTTTCCTATTTGAATTTTCTGATGACTCTTAATTCTTAATTTAATGATTGAAGAAGCTCCTTGTGAGTTCTACGGCTTTAAAATAGTTTGGAAAATTCCCTTACTTAGGTACCTCCATGAAATCGCTAAAAAAAAAAAGAGCATTGTATGATGAAAAAGACACCAAACTTGGTGAAAACAAAATTTTATCATCTAAATGTTTGTTATTAAGAGGAAAGAACAAAGTATTTTTTTAATTATTTTAAAATTTTTTCCATTTTAACTTTTGATTAAGAATAACCTTGTTTCTCTTTGTATCAGCCGAACTACTAAATACCATATAAAATTTTAGTGTATTTTTTTTTGTTTGTATGACAGACATTAATTTGGAAAATCTTGCAAAAATAAAAATAATTGTCGGATATTAATGAAACTTTCACAAACTATTCACAAATTAGGGAAATTATTATAAATATGTTTTCTTTTTTTAGAGTCAGGGCAAAAATATTTAAAAAAAATATTTATTATAAATTAATTTTATGGAAACTCTAGAAATTCAATACTGGTCAGTTTATCGATTATATTAGATAAAAGCACAAGTCTTTGAGGAAAGCAAATCATGTATTTTTTTTTTTTTAATTGGACCCCCATACCTGAAAATCAGCTCTGAATTGTAACATACAAAACTCAATAAAACAAAGATATTATATAATTTCAAATGCTTTTATGAATATGGATAATATTGTCTGAAAGCAAAAAACTTTTTTGATGACAAATGAATTTTTAAAACAATTATTTGTTATTTCTTAAATTATTTTATTATTTGTACATTAAAGTTGTTAAATATTATAAAATTAGTGGTGTTATTAAGTAGGGCTATCTTTTAGCATTATAAGTTGTATAGCTTATAGCAATCAGAAGAGCCACACGCTATAAAAAAATAATTTCAGATGGCTTTTGTGTCCATAAAACAGCTGTAATTCAAATGTATGGAAGACCAGCAAGAATACAATAAAAAGTCACATTATTTAAGTTAAGCATTGTTCTCCATTGTTATGGACTTTAGTTTTGCGAATTGTTCATGTGAAACCCACGTGGAGAAGTTAATTTGATTTTTCATATTCAACTGAGAAGGGTACCTACAAGTATCAGTATCATCTTAGGAAATTGATATGATATCAAAGTTAATAACAAAATGAATGGAAATACAAATAACACAGTAAAATGTAATAAATGTACATAAAATTATAGCATTTTATGTAGACTTCTGATAAAATTTCATAAGAAAGTTACCTATAAATTAATTAGATACCTTTCTTATGCAATTTAATCTCGCTCTCAACAGTCTTATTTTAATTTTTTATAATATATTTTCCATAAAGCATTGTAAACATAAAGGTAAAAGCTAAGTACAAAAAAAAACCAAAAATATTGCTGAAAGTTTTCCTTAAAAATAATGAGGTAACTAAGTTGGTTCACTTAAAACTAAATAATTATGTCACTTCTGTCCTTCTGTACAGTAACTTTCCCTTATGTAAGCTGTCAATAGGTGATGAAATCATCACTCATCAAGTGACACCAAATGTTAAGACCAGCTTTGTCTTATTTTTAAACTACATTTTTTCGGCACAGAAAGTAAGTAATGTTTAATTTAAAATATTTTAAATAAAATTTATAATTTCTAATTTTCTTAAAATAAATTTTGAAAAAAATTTAATTGATTTTTAAAAGAATTTGAAATGGAGATTTTCATTTTGTTTATTAAATGGAAAAAATGGTTGACATTATCGATTATTTGTCAATTTTGCTCACTCGAAAAAAACAAGATTTTTAATAAAAATTTTGGGTGTGCTAGGAACGATTAAAAAATGTAAAAAAAAATTACCCCCAAAATACTTTGTTCTTACCTCTTAATGTTAACATAAACATTTAGACAATAAAGAATTATTTTCATCAAGTTTAAGGCCCTTTTTATTCATGCTATGCTCTTTTTTAGTGAACTCATGTAGGTACCTACACTTACTGCTTTATTAAATATTTGAGCTTGACTTTAATAATTCATGCTGGAAACACCAGTTTTCATTCAATGACCAAAGTTATGCAGCATTCAGCTCAGTCAGTACTTAGATAGGGGATTACTTGGAAACACTGGGTACTGTAATCAACCTAGTACAATCTGAAATATGTTTCAACTTTAAATAATCCACAAAGGGTTGATAAGCTGTAAAAAAAATAAAAACCAAATCAATCGACAGTCATAAGTATGGATGCAGATCATTATTTGAAAAAAATAAGAGGCTACAAATGAAAAGATTTCTAATTAAGTTTTTCTATTTCACTGAAGCAGATGTTAAATACATGAGAGTATTATCATCCTCTATCTTCTCTCTATTTCTTTCTTTTTCTCACTGAAACCAAACAGTATCTCTATAACTTTTCAATCTTTCTTTGTGTTCAAAATGGAACAGTCCATTTTTTCTGAGGTATAGACAGGGCGTAACATAAGTGTTAACTAATTAAGGAATGAAGGAACAAGCAAAATTATAACATGATTTTTCTCTAATTGTATCTGAAACTGATGACAAATTTAGTTAAGATTCATCATATTTTAATTCTGCTTCTTTTGTTAGCATGTATGTTCTGACCTGCCAATACCTTATAAATAATGGACTGTTCTGTTTTGATCACAAGAAAAGACATATAAGAGACAGTGTTTTGTTTCAATGAGAAAAAGAAAAAAAATGTTCTTTGTGTATATTTCAGTGAAATCAAAGACCTTATCAATTTTAATTCTGTCCCATTCCCATAGTTGTTACACCTTACCACCATCTTATAACTAATGGACTATTCCTCTTTGATCATGAGCAAAGACAAAGACATATCAGACAGTGTTTGGTTTCAATGAGAAAAAGAAAAAAGACAGTTCTTTGTGTATATTTCAGAGAAATCGAAAACCTTATCAATTTTGAATTATACCCTCTTACTTTAAAAAATAACTGGCATTCAACTTTATGATTGTTATTGTCGTATTTTGTTGAATTTGTTAAGCTCATATATTTAACAATAATGAGAAGAATTTCCATGGATATTTTATAGCCATGGAACTCCCAAGGATCTTATTCATTCATTCATTCTTTTACAAATTCTGATTCCTCAGAAAATTCAAATAGTGTAACCATGAAATTTTCAAGGGTATTGCTAGCTATTTCTAGTTAACCGAGCTAAATAAAAAGCATAATGTAGCATTTAGCAAAGCAAAACCTACAACTTGCATGTTTTTCATACTACATGTATTAATACCGAAGCTGTCCATAAGGACAAATGTATACAAATGTACATGATGGGCAATTTTTTTTTTTTTTTTTTACTTGTTTTTTAGATTATTTGACTGGCGCCCTGAACCAATGCGGGGTGCCCGCTTCAAGCGAGAAAAAACAGTTGTGCTACAAAATATGTTTGAGCCAAAAGAATTTGATGTGAGTAAACAACTTTCTTCGTAATTTTAAACAAAGCTTTCCTTTTCAAGTATGGATTTCAGTGGATTAGGTTGGGGTTAATAAATAGCTTGTGGCCACGTGTCTGTTGGAAAGATTTTAATGCTTACTTCATAACTGTTAGCTTACTTTAAAATAAGTATTACATTACGAAGGTTTCTGTATGAAAAACAAGAATAATTTATATACAGATATTCTTGTTCAAATCTGTTATCTACATATCTATTGTGTATGTAATCTTTCCTAAACTTGTCTAAAACCTTCCCACTGCCATAATATAGGTTCTCTGTGCCTTTTCTATAAAACAAATTCATGATAATTTTTCTGGTGAGCCTAGACTTTATGAATTTAAGCACAGTACTAGATTAACTGTAAGGTTTTATCATTTTACTGTTGAAATGGCAAGATGTAACTGTAAGTTCTATGCTAACAGTTTCTTCTCTTGCTTCTTGCTTCCCAGTCAACTTTGATCTTCAAAAATTTAAATGCAATGTCAATCATTTTCTGCCTTCTTTATTTTTCTTTCTCCTTAAAGTTGTTTTTTTTTTTTTTTGCCTTGTATTCTCTTGCACTCATTAGCCCCTTGTATTACCATAACTGTAACAGTTTAACATCCAGGCATTAATTTGCTAACTTTTTTCTTTTTTTTCATTATTAGAAAACTAAAATACCTGATTCTTATTTAGATTTTTATAACTAATGCCAGATTTTTATTTAGATTTTTATAATTAATACTTGACTTTTATTTAAATTTTTATAATTAATGACGGATTTTACTGTGGCTATAAATGGACTAATGGTTTGTATCTATGTGTCTTACATTATTCCTAACCTTTTAAAGTTTAGGGTCAACTGTTATCTTTTCCACATATCTCTATAAACTGTTCCTCTTATTCTGTAACTCTCTACCTCGGATGGCTCTTGGGCCTTGTGCAGGATGAACACCACTGTTAAAAAATAAAATGAAAAATGGAAAATATTCTTCTTGAAAAATGTCTAACTGTATCCCTCCCAAGAGCATTTCTATTTTTACAATTTATCTTTTCATCTATTTGAGGAGCATAATTGATCTAAGCCATTTAATGATGTTAATAAGGCCTAAGAAAAGATTAGAATATACTTTCACTATTAATAAGCCACTGACAGTTATCCACAGGTAGGCAACTAACAAGAAAGCATTAAAAGAGGAATATTTTTACAGAAAAATTATTCAAAATTAACGATAATTATCTTTCATTAAGTCTGTATAAATGAACTAGCTATTTAGCTATGCGTTTCACCCCTTATAGTAGGCGTCCTCAGAACCCATGTGTGAGGAAAAGGGTGTTGGAATATGGAGAAGTGGTAATAAAGTTCTTTATCAGATGCTGTGATCAGAGAATTGGTATTTTTTTTTCTATAAAAGACACTGGTGTTTGCTGATTTTAAATTTTGACCGATACATATAGATCTTGTTTTTTTTTTTTTTTTGTCTCAATTAATACCATAGCAAAAATATTAGTAGCACACTGCAGCATATGAGCTAATAGAGAAAACACCCCAGATCTACTTAAATTTCAAATCCAGTAGACATTAGTAGTTTCAGTACTAAAAACACCAACACTTTGGCGGTAATATCTGAAGGACCTTCGCCATATTCCAACACCCTTTTCTCACACATCTCTCATTCCAGCCTGAGGACGCCTACTATAAGAGGTGAAATGCATAGTTGAATAGCTTTTCCACTTTGTTTTATCCTTTCCACTTTTGTTCAAATAATATTCATCCCAAAATGGACAAGCATAAGAACCCACCTTTCCTTAACTTTCTAAATATCTAAAATGAATACAATTAAATATGTTCAGTATATTTTGCGACCATTGCTGTAAAACGATGCTGACAGTTGTCAGTTGACCCATGCATGTTGATTTTTATCAAAAGTGTTGCTTTCAAGATAAACATAAAAAAAATAACAAATATAGAACCTAAAATAAAAATACTATTAACTTCTTCTTTATGTGCCATGTCCCTTCAGGACATAGGTGATCATGGCTCTCCACAATTTCCTATTCTTCATAGATCTTAATAAATTTTGTCTTTTTGTTATTTTTTCCTAAACTTGTTCCATCATTCATTTACTCAAGCTTGCTAGGTTATGCATTGTTTTCCTCTGTTCCTCTTGCCTTCAATCTATCCTGTGAGTATCAGATTTTCCAAGCCCTCTTTCCTCATTACGTGCCCTAGAAATTTCATCTGTCTCTTCCTGATGTTAAGTATAAGTTTCCTTTTACTCTAAAACTTTATCATTGCTTGCATGTTCAGTCCATGGTATCCTCAGCATCCTTTTTTTTTTCTTTTTTTATTTCTTTCCAAAATACACTACTTAGTTATATAATTACAGTTTGCAAATTCTTTTTAATCAAGAACTTAATTTTAAAATATCATTTGCTTCATTTATTGAATGACAAAATGAAAAAAAATTTATATACTGCCTTTTGTCATTCAAAAGGACTTCATCGGACTTAAACATCATTCTTATTTATAAAATATACATAAAAACAAAAGTTGACACTGAGGTCAACACTGAATGGTAGCAGTTTGTTTCATGCCCTGTGTGTTGAGTGATGGCTTGACTATTTATATATGCTGGTCAATAGAGCATTATGGGTAGCATGATCTTGCCTCAACAGCTTCTGACCAATTCAGTATGAATGCATGATCATTGACACAAATAAATGCTAAATTCTATGATTAAGTAAAAAAAGAGAAATATTGAACAAAGACAAATGTATTTATTAGCCTAATTTTGATCTGAAATTTTCACTGTATAATGTTGAATGTGTGTGATTGATTTTTCTACTCTGTATTAAGTACATTGACGAAGAAGCTGATCATGTTGAAAAATAAATTTAAAAAAATGTAAAAGAATCACTTTGTTCATCATTAGGCTTTTGATTTATTATTAACTTACTAGTGCACCTATACCATAAAAAAATGATAGCAATTGTTAGAAAGTTTAATATTTATTTTAGGATATTACATTGAAAACGTGTTAAAATCACTACACAATTGCAGTTGTGTTTTGATGTGTATCAAATGCATTTCATCAGGTGATATATCATAAAATAAATAATATTGCTCTACTTTGTATTGAGCCCTCTTTTAAATTAAATGTTATGAATGTTGGAATTGTACTTTCTTCATTCTCATCTGACCTTAAAGTTTAATAGTGAGATGCAATAAAACAAAAATCTTGAAACAATGTATTGAGATTCAATAAAGCGGAGATAAAGAACTCACATTAGAGGCCAATTAACCGTTTAATTAATATGTACCCTTTATATTTTTTAGACATTCAATGGTATCTATGATTTATTGATTACTCCTGGTATTATATAAATCCCTTTTTGCTCAAAATATTCCATGTTAAAAATTAGATGGGTTATGGTGCTGTTAGTCCTGTGAGTGTTACACAATGAAAACCATCAAGTGACCTAGTTAATAAGTTTGTATAAATGGTTGGCAGAAGAAAATAAAATGGAACAGTAAAAGGTAAACATGAGGAAGAGGTATTCAGGTAAACTTGTGTGCAGAATACACATGCAAGCACAACTAAATTATTTACTTCAATTTTAACCCTGCAGTGTGCTTATTTGGTATGATACGCTTGGTATTTTTCAATTTTCTTCTCCACATGATTACATTGTTCCAGGAAACAAAAACTTCCCGCTTCTTTTTCTTATTTGAAATATCGGCATTGGTCTAACTAATCCAGACCATATTTTTATTGATACAAAAGTGTAATCAACTAGCAGCAGACATACGTCTCTAGTTTCAGATAGGAAAGCATCTTAACCCATCTACTAGAAGGAAAGTCTCTTCTTTTTTTTTTTATGATAGACCATTTTATTGTAAATTTCAACTGAAGGTATAGATAAAAAAAAATTTAGTTAACTCATTAGGCACCCAATAAAATAAAAAGGGATTCTAACTCAGTGTGAAATTGAAACAGAATTTGTTTATCTAAAATAATTTATGTGGAAAGAAAAGTAAGGAAGCAAAGGTGTAACAGAGAATTGGGTCAGCCCGATAAAAACAAAAACTCTGAGTTAGTTTTATGTGGTGTTGTAAGCACCAGGAGTTGCACCCTCTTCCACAATGGGCTGTTGAGAGAAGACCTTCTACTTAGAGTAAGTGGTGCTGAGTATTTGTATGTGAACGATTCTGGGCAGGTATAGTCAGTGTGGGTCTGGGACTGGGAGAGCTATATAACACCAGTTTTTTTCTCAGTTGAGAGAAGCATTCTCAGTGTGCAGAAACCAGACAACATGAACCCAAAAGGTTTTCTCAAAATATTCCTTGATTTGTTAATAAAAAGGTAGAGAGAAATGGTCCTTGGTAGTGAGTGAGACAGCAATAGTTCATAGTAGTGTTAAAGTTTTCTCCTGTTTGGGTCAATATATCAGTGTAATAGCAGAATGATTTTATTGTTGAATGAGGAGTACTGAACAAAAGTTGTTGCGGTAAAGGTATTGAATCTGTAAGCCCTGTAAAACTGTTAACTGTGATCAATTACTCATCTTTCAATGAGGAAAACTTGGTCGGTTTGTTGCACAGTCATTGGTTGGCCCTGTGGTATCTCCAACTTTAAAGTCCACTTCTCTTTGTGCTGAAAATTGTTAATTGATCTGCTTGACCCCATCTGTTCTGGATATCCACTTTGATAAGGCGTGAATGAATATCAATTTAACCAACCTTGCTTATATTTGCATTGGTAGGTTCAGAAAGCTATCTTTTCAAATCATTGTGGGGTTTCAAGTTCCGTTCTTCTGAGATGACTTTTCTCCTTAATCCTTTTCCCCTTAATCCTTTTCCCCCCCACCCCCACCCTAAAACATTCCTTTTTTATTACCCTGAATCGGACTCAGTGTCAGCATAATCAGGCTCAGAATCAATGCTTATCAAAAGAGCCGCATCCAAACACCTCACCTTCACTTGTAGGT